ATAGAAAGATTTTACAACTCCAGTTTGGGAATTGTGCAATTTTTTTTTTTCTTTCAAATTTATAAGCACAGCAAACAGTTTGAAGAGATATTTGACTGGAAGAGGTAACGACAGCATTTGATGATCTGTTATGCCCACCCCTTGGGTCTGAGAAATCTTCTATTGCAACTTTCTGGTCTTCAAAGGAGACCTTCATAAGACAGAACACCTGAGATGACTAACTTTTGACAAAAAGACCACATACAGAGAGGGTGCTTTTTTTTTTTTGAACACTAACAAGGAGTAAGGCAGATCACAAGAACCAGACCATTTCCTCTTCTATTGATCACTCAATACAAAATGGAAGACCATGATGAATAAAGGCAAATACTATCCTCACCCACTACTGACAGTCACATGCTTTCAGATGGGTTATTTTTTTTCCTGCTTCTTAATCAGTTACCTTCAACTAAAAAAGGCTCTCTGAAAAGAAAAAATCTGAGCAACAACTATCTTTCCTCTGTCTCTAAGAGTGGCTGTATTTTACACCATGATTGCTTCTCGAGTCTTGAATATCACAATCTCAGAACAAATCCCTTCTGAGGAAAGAGCTAAAGGGGAAAAAAGGAAAATTAGTTTTGAGGCTACACATACAATGTGGTTTTGTATCCTGATTTATACTTGAAGAGGAGGAAGAAGAAAAACAAAGGTGTTTCTTTTAAAATAGTTCCAACAAATGAGTCCTTGGACAGCCATACTCTCTTCCCATGCTACTGCTTTCTTCCAAGTGTTGGGCAAAAGTGGCATTTTGCTGGCTTAATTCCAAGAAAACAAGCTTTCTCCTTCCAAAGATATCTCCCTGAACACTACGGTAGCTACTACATGAATGTCTTTTAGCTTCTCTTCCTATCCATTTCCTGAAGGGGGACAGGAACCTGTTCTTGCAAGACTGGAAGAATACAACTGAAAGGAACATAGAAATAAGTGAAAAGACCTTCATTTCTTATAATTAAATAAATTTGTGGTGAGAGAAAGATTGAAGCAGTGTCAGTTCAAATTAACGATGTGGAAATTAGTACTACTGATGGTATTAGTGAGTGCCAACTTGACTTGTGACGCACTTTTCTTTTTAACATGCCAAACCCGAGATGATTCTCAAGAAGTTAAACACTAGAAATACTGGCTTTGTTATGTCCTAAATTTGTTTGGAATCTCTGAGGGAAAAAATTGTTTGGCAAGCAATCATTAGTACCTATTCTTTATTATACAGTTAAAAGAAAATTGCATTCAATTCGCCCAGACCAAAAGATCTTGAGCCAAACCCATCCTCAGTGCAAGCAAGTCAAACTTTTAAAAGTATAGCTCAAAGTGTTCTCAAGGTGAGAGGCACAGAACAGCTTTGAAATACTAACTACAATCTCTTTTGTAAAATAAAATGCGAGTAGCTGCTAGAAAACTGTATTTCACAAAAAACCTTCTTCATATCTCAGCCCTGTGTAGGCCCACAGCACCTCAATATCATGGCCAAGAATGAACACTTTCGAGATCAAGCCCTTTATTGTGATCCTAGAGAGCCTCATGCATCTGTGTGAACCCATGAAACAACACATATGTGGAAAATCAATCATGCACTTAAGTCTTTGCATGGTGAAGTCTATAGACTTTTCACTTCTTGTTATATTAAAAAAATGTTTAAAATGTCAGTTATGCAAAAGCACAGACAAGTCTTTATCTAACTGTAAGGTTTCTACGGAAAAATATTTCCACGTTTCTTAAATCATCAATAGCTTTTTATTTTTATGTTGGCTAGGATATAATCTTCCCACCACCAAGAGACATAAATTAATAAATAAAACAGAAAGGAAAAAAAAAAGGAAACAAAAGGAGAACTGTGCAGCCTAATTTCAATGCTACCAAGAAACGGAGAAATTTAAACAGCAGAAACTGAAATGTTTTGTTCTTTCCACCTAATGTTACTATGTTATTATTTGTAACATTTGAGTAAAACATAAATACTGCTAATTGTGTTTTATGAATATTTAGGGATCTACAGCAATTTTATGAATTAACTGAAAGATAAAAACTGCTTTTTTTAAAGGAAATGAAAAACCTTCAGAGTTCGTTAGATTGTAAAATACTAACTCTGGAACTCCCTTTTTTTTTTGCACTCAGTTGAGAAACTTGTTTACTGAGTTCTATCATGTTCCTCCATTTGTGACTCAAGCTATTTCTCAGCAAAACAGCCGTCAACAGCTACACACTGATAAAGTGTTTTAAGCCTCAGAACACTAATTCGTCCTCAGTAATCGCAGTATCCATGTACCTGCATCAAAACCCTTCTCCAGCTCTTAGAGGTGCAACGGGAGACCCTGGGCTGATGTGCTGAGTCAGCACTCTGCCCATAAGGCATCCCAAGCCAACTTACAAGTACACCACAAAAGCAGGACCTGACACAGCAGCTGGTGCCGAAAGAGAACACACAAGGGGAAAGAAACTCAGCCAGTGGTACAGGGCTTGATTTAAAAGCCCCTTACTCCCACTGGCTTTAGCAGACTTTGAATGGGACCTCAATGCACAGAAGGAATGGGAAGACCTAGAGAATATAAAAGAACCAACTTCAGTGTAGGAAATTTTAATAGAGTCACTTTTGATAAAACTGCACCAAGCCACAACATGTACAGTTGCAAGTGCTTCCTCCCTATCCAAGCATGCAGCCAAGAAAGCTGTCCACACACAGGAGGCACAGTTTGTCATACCACCACTTATGTATTGCTAACCAAGAGAAGGAGGCTTGTCTGAGGCAACAGGCACACAGAGCTATGAAGAAACTGGATTATAAGAACGATATTTCATGTGTACAGCTATGCGTCAGGGCAATGTACACTAGTTAATCTTTCCACGGCAAGTACTCAAGTGCTTTCACTCTCTTTGCATTGTTATTATACAGGTTTGGTCCGATTAATAATTACCTTCTTGTGACGGCAGCATGCAGACTCTCTCCATTGCTGGTACTGTTGAGTTAGAATTCCTTCTCCAGGTCTGAACACACTGGACAGATTACTGTCCCCTGAAGGATGTCAGGACTGGTACGGATATCTATTGTGCATACCTGGATCTTACAGAATAAATGACAGCTTAATGCTGCTCCCCTCCTCAAGTTACCTCACATAGCCGTTGTAAACTTTGAATCTTTGTATCAAAGTAATCACAATAGCAAATAACAGCATCTATTTATTATTCCCTGATATTATATGCAAGACATAGAAAACATAACAGACAAGTGTTTTTCACACTAAGCAAGATACAGGTTTACTATAGTAAGTACAAGTATACTATAAATGCAATGCTTGCCTAGAGACACAGGAGAAAATTGTGTATAGTAAAGAAAATATAGCCGTGGTAGCATATTCCTGTGTCAGGACCTCATAAGTCAGTTTCAACTAACAATAAAAGGCTTATAGGGCATTTGTAAGGCACAAAGAATGAATAGGATCCTGGCCTCTGAGTACGACTTGGTGAATTAAGATGACAATCAAGAGACAATAACACAACACTAACCTTCTGTAATACCAATCTTTACCCTAAGTTTGAAGAAAGGGGGTTTCCTCTGCCTGTAGGAAGAGGGAAGGGGAACACCCCCCCCCCAATAAAAACAAAAAATACCACCAAAAAAAAGAAATAAAAAAAGGAAGAAAATAACACAGAGAAAGGTACTTAGGTACACCATCTGAGAGTGCTTTTTTGATAGCTCAGAGCTGCAGGTTTAATATCTCAGCATTGTTTCTGCGAATTTCTCACATCCTAAACCCCTGTCTCATGAACAAGGGGGCACAGCCATTCCCCACCTTCAGTTTTAGAGGCAGAAAAGATGATCCTTTGCTATCATGGCTGACAGACATAATGCTGAAAAAACCCAACATATTTCTCTAGTTTTTGAGCTTTTGTAAAGCTGTAACTGACTCACGAGTAGCAGGTACCCCCAAGTGCTCTCTATACCAATAGCTAAGTCAAGTAAACATCACTTTCAGCACCACCATTACAGGAAGTACTGCTAAGACTTATTCCACCAAACAACAGGCTAGTTACCACTACCGTCCTCCATTTTCAAGTCTGAGTAACCTACCTCATGGCTCTTATAAACTGGGAGGGTCCAGAGGAGAAACTGCCACGGGCTGCTGGTGTACAGTACACGTAGAGCTTGCATCCCCCTCCCCGTGACCGCAGACCAGCTTCCCTAAAGGATGCTGGGCAAGTCACAAGCCTTCTGCGCCTGAATTCGTGTTTGTTTAACAGCAGTGGCAGCACTTGTAACGGGGAGGGGGGAGAAATGGAGGCTGCAAGACAGGAGCTGCTGTACCAGGCTCAGGGATCCTAAAGGAGCAGGAGACAGTATTGCCACGTATTGGGGAGCAGGGGGAAGGGAGGAGACGCGCCTCGAAGAAACAGAGATGGCTATCTGATAAGGGCTGGTTTTATCCTGAAGATGTGCTTTATTGACTGGCTTGGGCCGTTTAATCTGCGTGTGCTGCAACACCAAGCACAGTTGACCCCACACAAAAGCCGCACAGCTGGCGGCCCCCACCCAGGCCGGATCCCACCCCAATGGCCTCGAAAGGGGCTCGCTGTTCCATCTGCATTCCCCAGCAGCACGCTGCACTCCCAGACCCGCAGCCGGGCCGGCCCCGCTGTCTCCACTAGCCCCCCGCACACGCGGGCACGTCCTGCGTGGATGCGCATCCCGCGGGAAGCGCCGCGACGAGCCGCAGCCGCCCCTCGGCGTCCCACCGGCAGCTGCGCCCCTGAGCCACACCGGCGCTGGCAGCAGCACCAGCGAACCAGCCCAGGCCGGTCTGCACGCAGGAGAAAAAAAAAAAAAAAAAAAAAAAAAAAAAAAAAGGAAAAAAGGAGAAGAGAAGCGCGACGGAAAACGCGGGGAGCGAGCGGTGCGGGTGCCGATGCCGCCCCCTCCCCGCGGCCCCTCCGCCGCCTGCCCGCCCGCCCGCCCCCCGTGCCTGCCTCACCTCAGGGAGGGCTCCGCGGGCTGCGGACCCCAAGAGCGCCCGGCCGAACCGAGCCGTGAGTGCGGCGGGAGCGCAGACCTTCTCCGCGCGGTCACTGCCGCGGCGCTGCCATGCGGGCGGGCAGAGCAGGGGGCGGCGGGCAGAGCAGGGGGCGGCGGGCGGGCTGGGCTCCGAGCGGCTCCGGGCAGCTCCTAGCAGCGCCCTGCAACGCGCACCCGCATGGCTCGGCGAGCGGACAGCACCGGCTGCCGGCGGCGGCGGGGCCGGGCGGGCGGGCGGCGGCCAATGGCTCCCGCGGCGCCGCGCATGTGAGGGGAGGGGAGGGCCGGGCTGGGCCAGCCCCGCCCGCCCCGCGCCCCCCGCGCAGCCGCCGCGCTCAGGTGCCCGCGGGCCCCGCGCCCTCAGGGACGGGGCGGGGGTCAGGCCGGTCCCCGCGCGGGGACGCCGGGAGGTGTCCGCGGGGCGCAGCGGGAGCGAAAACGCCCGGTGGCAAAGCCACGGGGTTGTTCTCGTTGTGCAGGTAAATGAAACCTAGTGCGTGAGGTAAATAAAACAGCCACAAGTTCAAATTGCGTGGTTTAATTACTAAAATATTACCTGGGGGGAGAAAAAATTGCAGGGACGGATCCCTCCCCGACGGCCCCAGAGGCTGAACACAGCAGGCTGAGGAAGAAGCCGAACTGACCCTGATCTCCACCCAGAAATCCATTAGAAACTTTTTCCCTCCTTTAAGTGAAAAAACATCGATATCCTGAAGTACTTGTGGAACACTGACCCGACAACTGACCAGATCTGCGTGTCTTTTTAATTAGAACTAGATGTAACCTATTATGTTCAAAACTACATTGGTTTTGATCAAGAATGGAATTAAAAAAAAAATAAAAAAAAGATACTCATCTTTTCCAAATTTTATTTCCTCACCATGATTTCTAGGAACTGGAGGAGATGGGAACTGATCTTTTACAGCTCGTTCAAAATAGCTTTATGGCCCTTTAAAGATTGAGAATCTCCCCTTTATATTTTTAGATGCATTTTTAATCAGACCTTCTGGTCTAAATGACAGAAGTATCTAAGGCTACAAATAAAAGCACTTCTTAGCAGCAATTCACTTCTGAGACCAGAGAAAATCAGGCCAGCTTGTCCTGCTCTCAGCTGTTCAGCACTATTTTCATACCAGAGTTTTCATCTGGTGGAGAATTTTAGCAGAGCTCAAATTTAGTCTAATGAGCTGTCAATTATTTTAAGCTTTGATTTTTAATATCTTCATTTGGCCTTTTAGTTATTTTCTTCACTGAGATTATCATCGATTATGTTACTTTTGGCCAGCATTTTAGACCTTACTGTTTCTTCAATAAGGTGAATTTATTATCTATTTATTTACTTCTGCTCTGACCCAGTGGCCAAGCCACATAGGGTATGTAATACTGGGGCTCCACAGCAAGGGAGACAGAGATAAAAGCAGTCCAATCTGGTAAACATCAAGGCAAGTGAAAACAGATAATAACAAGAGCTGCTGGCTGGGAAATCCTGACTCAAAGGCAGCTGGCAGAGAAATTCAAGCGGAAGAAAAAGGATTTTTTCAGATGCCAGAGCTGGTCAGAGCTGGCTGAATCTACATTCACTCAGCAATCAAGACACACTGCCAAGCTGAGGCACACCAGCAAAACAAACAAATAGCTCTGGGGACTTGAGAGAGAAGACACCTGGAACTGGGCAGATCCAGATCCAATTAAGATTCCCTTTCTGACGGGACAAACACAAGTGTGAAGAACTTACCTCCTACAGAACATACGCTGGGTTACTTGTTTGTTTTGGTTTCTTTTTTACTTGTTTTGATATGTATTTAAAGGTAACACAAAGGAGTTTTAATTTAAAACTCTCTACATTCCTCCCTTTCAAACTTCTCTAGCAGAGACCTCTCCCACTGTGTCAGGTTTGGTCTTCCCTGGGCTCAAGCCTGAGTGGTTTTGGGCAGCTCTTTCTAGATTGTTGTTTCTGGCTCTGATTACCTCAGACATGCTGAGGTGGGACAGAAGAGAGAGGAGGGGAGTTAAAAACCTGAAAGGGCTCCATTTGTGGCAAATATACATTCCAGCTGTTCTGTTATCCTGCTGTAGTCTATAGGGCTGTTTCAGCAGAAGTACAAATCAGCCAACTCCAAGTTACTTCATGTGATAAAAGAGATGCCAGGAAAACAGAGGCAGTGGGGGGGGGAAACGGCTTCTTTCTGCCTGCACAGTTTTGATGCTGGCCCTTTATAATTAAAATAAACTAATATTGTTATTTTGATGTATAGCTCAGAGGACTGAATTAGTGATTACATTAACAAGCAATAGCAATGCAGCCATATGCCTCACAGGATAAATTAATCCTGTTTGTTTTTACAACTACATTTTAGTTTCAATTTTTCAAATTCCATAACCTTGACTAGCCAAATATGTCATATTTTTCAACCTTATTGTTATTCCCATTCTCACATAATTTAAAAATTTTAGAAAAATCAGCCCCCTAACAGAGTTACAGCTTTGGCCAGGCTGAAAGCTGACAATTTATTCTGACATAATTTCCAGTTCTTTCCTTCTTTCACTCAAACAGCTGTCCTATGCATCTCAGTATGCCTGCTTGATGTTGTCCAGTGGGTGTCCAAGTTCATTCCAAGGGAGCCAGGTGCAAAAGGGACACCATCAGAAGGTGAACATAAGGAAGAGCCAGTGCCAAAAATAGAGAGTGCCAGTGGTTTCTTGGAAAACAGTGCGGAAATTCCATACCAGGAAATATTTCAGTCCTGGCTTCGAGTGGGCTGACAAATTTTTCTCCCAAGCAAATTTAAGATGAAGGGGAATCTTAATATTGTAGATTGGACAAGATGACCTTTTAAAAGTCCCTTCCAACCCAAACTATTCTATGATTAAGAAGTTAAGGAGCTAGTTACTTGGGAAGAAGCGTGGATGGCTACATAGAAGTCAGGGAACTGACTTTCCCCTCTCCAGAAACAGGGCAATTTGTCTTCATGGAATGGGCAAAGCTTGAAGGGGAAGACCTCGGTTGAAATAAGGAGAAGGATGCATGAGTCATTTCACTTGGCTACTGGCCACCTGTTCTCAAGAAAAGGGTTTCTAAGTGCTGAGCAGTTCAGCCTGTGGTGTTCATCCAGGACATGGGCAGGGAGATGGGGCTGGGGATCCAGTCAGACTTGTCAGCCCCCATCTGCCACTTCCCATCCACTCATCCTCTCACCCACTGGTGCCCCCGCTGTGTCACGCACCCTGCCACAGCAGCAGTGAGGCTGACTTTCCAGGCAAAATTAGGCAATGTGTTGGCAGCTGTTTCATTGCCCTGCAGTCAGATGATGTTGGCAAGGGCCTGCTTTGTGTTTGCCCACATCTGGCTGAGCCTCTTGCATGGAGAGTCAATCATGGGGTGAGGGGTTCAGGGCCTCTGCTCTTCCAGAGAGGAGAGGAAGAAAAGCCTGTCACCCAAGGGCTGTGATGCTGCACTGCAGCACTGCTCAGTCTGCCCCATCACAAGGACACAAAGTCAAAGCTTTCAAAAGTCCAACTAAGTTATGTCAGTCAATCCTCCTTTAACTACCATTTTACTAACAATCCCAAAGATACTGAAGAAAAACAAAAAAGCATGTTTTTCCACTGTAAAAAGCATTGCAAAACTTTGTCCCTATCATGTTGTGTTACCACTTTTTCTGAAGACACTTCACTGTTATGCTTATTTTCAAACACCTGGCACAGCAGCTTCTGCGCTACAAGCACAGTGACCTTTGGAGGCCTTGTAAGCCAGCCTGCTCTGCTCCAGAGCTGGGACTCTCCCAGCTTCTGAAATTCCTGGCTGGAAAAATATCACTCCTTACCTTGTCTTTGTGCTGAAAAGAGAAGGGCCCTCTATGTCTTAATCATCATGAGAATAACCATATTATATAAACAGCAGTTTCTTCTTCCTCCTAATTATGTCCAGAACTCCACAATGTGCTCACGAGTTCTATTTAATCTGTGATAATACAAATGCAGTCACCAACGTGCAATGTGGCTGTCTAAACATGGAACAGAGATTTGGGGGATGAGGCCTTATTCTTAGCAAGTACCTTTGTCTTTTGAAACAAGAGCAGCAGCCGTGATGGTGTTAATTGTAAGCAGTCTGTGTCATCCCACTGCAGCTCAGCAAAGTTTTTCAAGTGATGGCAGGAAAAACGCATGCTGGCTGCTTCTGATTACACAGAAGACCTGGTTTTCACGAGTTCTCACATTTCATCCAGTGGATATACCAACAGATGGCAAATCTGTTTCATTCTGTACTTATCAGTGAAGGACTATAAATTCACAAAACACACAGCAACATATGAGAGTGAGGCACGGCAGGAAGACAGGAAACTGTGCTGCAGGCAAACCTGCCCTGCAGCTTGCCTGAGCAAGACTTGAATTTGGCAGAAGCAGGAATAAGATTGTGCATTGCTTGATCAATCCAAATAGAGCCCGTGTCAGTCAGATGTAGTGCCTGCTAACACAGCATCTTCATACTCAGATTCCAGCTCAGCAGTGCACCAGGTAAGAACCACCACTGAGGTGTTGAGTACCTTCAGCTCTTTAGAGCCAGTGGGCTGGGAGGGGAGAGTTACTTTGTGTTAGTCCACTTAATCTACTTAGCTCTTCCTATTTTCCTAATTTTGCACCTTACTACTTCTATGATCTCTACCTCTTCTGCTCATCATGGTTTCCACAAACATTAAATGCTAAGCATGAGGACTGAATAGGAAATAAAAATTAAAAACCTGTCATAGTCAGAATTAGCAGAGTAAGACCAAAGGAAGCTTTCAGCTGTCACAGTTTGTCCAGCCTTGCTCACCAGAACAATTTCCCTGCCTTCCCCCTGGGACATATCAGTCTGTTATTTCTTTCTTCAAATCATGCCTGAAAGCTATTTCCCCCCCTTCAGATCTCAAGTGGTTTTCTCAGTGAAATAGCAGTGCCTCCATGTGCAAATGGCTTGACACAAACCCTAAGTGCCCTACCTGGATCTAGGACAATGGTGGTCTTTAAAGAAATGGCAAACCAGTTATCTTCAGACTGCTGAGCTCTACCTGTGCTA